GGGCAAGAATCCAAGCAACTGAGTGTCCAAATGATATAACAGCTATAGTTCCACTTTTAATCACTCAACATAATGACTGAGCCTGTATCTAGTCTTTCTAGATAACCCTCTCCCCTTGATTTGGATGAGCTACAGCTGTGGACAGCTCCTTGCCACTGCTAAAGAGTGTTATAAGGGAGACAGCTGTGCTTGAGCAGAGCCAACCACTAGCAATCAGTGGTTAAGAGCCAAATCATGTGGCATCATCTTTAAGTGGTATGGGAGGAATTGCAGCTCAACTAGTTAGGGAAGAAAAACTTCACGGAGGAAAGATTAGTAGAATGTGGATGGAGAAGGGGAGAGAAAAGGACATTCTTGGCAGGAAACAATGCAAGCAAAGGTGCATGGATGTGAATGAGCATGATGAGTTCATGGGGTAGAGTGTTCAGATAAGGTTATGCATTGTCATTGTTCAGTTATGTCAGACTCTTTTTTTTATTTTATTTGTGGCCCCATTTGGGGTTTTCTTGGCAAAGATACCAGAGTGGTTTGCCACTTCCTTCTCCAGCTCATTTTACAGATGAGGAAACTGAGGCAAAGTTAAGTGACTTGCCCAAGGTCACACAGCTGGTAAGTGTCTGAGACCAGATTTAAATACAAGTCTCCCTAAATCCAGGTCCAGTGCTCTATCCATTGAGTCACCTACCTAGCTGCCACTTTGGGGCAGCCACCATGTCCCCTTAAGTCTTCTCTTACCTAACCTAAAATTCCAGTTCCTTCAGCTGATCCTCATAAGACATGATCTTACGGCCATTCACCATCCTGGTGACCCTCCTTGGGATGAATGTAGTCGAGTTTGTCAATATGATTCCTAAAATGGAATGCCCAGAACTGAACACACTTGGCTAGATGGTGTTGAACTAGAGCAGGGGATACTGGAATGATGAGCTTCCTCCTTCATTCAGATATGACATCATAAATGATAGGAAACCACTGAAGATTTTTCAGAGAGCGTTGTGATGAAAAGACTGTTTAAGAAAAATTAGGCTGACCGTGGTGAACAAGATAGATTGGTGTTTTCTTCCATAGGCAGGTGATTTCTCCTTTGAAGAGTTTATTGGGTCCATTCTGTGATCCCTATAGCTGAGCCAAAGTTCTGTCTTTGGCTGGGACCTCAGAGGATGTACTGTGTGGAAGGATAATTGCTCTTGCTGATTTTAAGCTGAGGAGTATACTCAAGCCTGCACAATTTGCTTTAATAACTCAATCCATGAATTAATCTACATCTTTTTGATACTTGCATTTCCAATTTATTTTCTTTGTCATAGACTATTTGCTGGTAGTTAGAATCAGAGATTCTGGGAGTCAAACAGGGGCCTTAGAGATCAACTAGTATGACTTAAAGCACCATCCCCAACAAGGAGTTATGCAATTTAAAGACTGACAGTGATAGAGAACCTACTATCATGAAAGACAGTCCTAGAGGACAGTGTGGAACAGTGGAAGGATGGCTGGCCCTACAGTCAGAAGACACAGGTTCAAATTCCTCTGACCCATAGTACCTATGGGACCTTTTTTGTTGTGGTTCAGTCATGTCCAACTCAAAAGTGTGGCCTTTTCACTTTCCAAATTCACGTAAAATTCAGATTTGGATTCAGTCAAAAGGCTGCACTTAAGTATCTAGAAGGCCACATGTGGCCTCAAGGCTGAAGGTTCCCCACCCCAGTATAACCTGTGAGGTCTCTTCAGCTCTAGACCCATAGTCTTATGATCCGTGGTTAGCTAGCTCTAATTGTTAAGCTCTTCCTTAAAATAAGCCAAAAACCTCTGAGATTCCTTCCCTGACCTACCACCAATAATCACTCCTAGTTCTATCCCCTGGGACTAAGCAGAATAAACCTATCATTTCTTCAACATAAGAATCCTTCACTTATTTGAAGATAGCTATCATATCTTCCTTCTTTCCCCCACCCTATCCTGTCTTCTAAACATCCCGCATTTCAAAAAACTAATCCTTGGTTAACATAGTTTCCAATCTACTCACCATCCTTTAGATGCATTCCAATTGTCAATGTTAGTATCTGCTAACTTGTAGTTCCTCAAACTGGACACTCTTCTCCTGATAATAACTGATGAGAATAGAATACAGTGGTACTATCACCTCTATCATTCTGGATACTAGAATCATATTAATGCAACCCAAAATTTACAGAAAGAAAATGAAAGGTAGCCTGGTGGAATAAGTAGAAGGCAGACCTTGAAGTCACTCTGGGTGACAATACCTCTCAGTTCCTTAGGGCACTAAGTCTAAATAATAGATGAGTTGCTGATCTGAATTGGTGAAGGGAGTTTACACACCAGGATTCCCCCCCAACACACACACACACACACACACACACACACACACAAAATCTTGGATCCAGACCAACATAAATAAAAACAGCAATAACAACAAAAGGTCAAATTTGCCTTTTTTTTTTTTAATTCTTCCACATCCCACAGCATGGGAGTTGTCCAATAATGGCACTACATGCTACTGGCAGTTTGGGTAGTCTTGTTTTTCTAACCATAAATCCTTGTGATTTATTAATACAATGAAGAGCCTCAGCTCTCTGGCCTTTGTACATTGTTAGGCTTGAGGAAGCTGGAGTGTTGGCTGAACAACAGAAGCCAATGCTATGGGTCCCCTTCTCATCTGTATGGCAATGAGTCTGAGCATACATTATACAGATTTTTTTTTTAATGAAAAGGAAGCAGAATGATATCATTCACTGAATTTTCATAATGAAGCAGAATTTTGCTTCTGAATCCTTGGGGACTTTTTTCACTTACACGCAAAAAATACGGTGGGTGAGTGTGTTTTCTTTCAAATAGAAAATTATTTCCTCTTTGAAACTAATGAAATTTTGGTGTATACAAAACTTGACTTCTCAGTATTCAATTGTCCAATTGTTAGTTTGTCAAAGTTCAGCACTCCAGGCCAGTAGTTGCAAAGTATCTGACCTACTTTCAGTCTTATCCTTAGCAAGGTATGGGAGATAGTGTCCCTGGAAATGTCACAGATTACACTTCTTCCTTTGTACTAACAAAGTCTCAGGTAATGATACAATGCTCTGTACTACAGTCAGTGCTACATGGTGTTCATTTCTATGCAGAGGTCAGTGATTGAAATTTGAGGGAATTTAATCAAATGGAAGGCAGCTAGGTGGTACAGTGGTTAGAGCAACAGGCTTGGAATTAGGAAGACTCATCTTCCTGAGTTCAAATCGGGCCTCAGACACTTCCTAGCTGTATCACCCTGGGCAAGTCACTTCACCCTGTTTGCCTCAGTTTCCTCATCTATAAAATGAGCTGAAGAAAGAAATGGCAAACCACTCCAGTATTATCTTTGCCAAGAAAACCCTAAATGTGCTCACCAAGAGTTGGACATGACTGAAACAACTCAACAATAACCACAACAATCAAAAATGGATTGATTCCCTGAGGTACTGATCTATAAATGTGAGAAATGATGAAGGTAATAGGTGTTTATGTGCACAAATTAACACTTAGAAATTCAAGTCACACTTTAGAGGAGGCAATTCTGTCTGTAGCTTTAGCATCATTAATTAATGGCAATGGAAAACCAACAAAGCTAACAAAACAAAAATAAACAAAATAAAAGTAAGTAATTAATTAAAATAAATAAAATAAAAAGAACACTCCACTCATGTTCATGCCTGAATCCTTATCCCCTTTCTCAGCTGTTCTTTTCTTTCCAACTGAGAGGGGAAAACTGGAAACTGAGCTCACACTGTCTGTCCATTGTTGTTAGGCCAACATTCAATGCCTTCCAGTGTGGTAGGACATCATAGGATTTTGAGCCTGGAAGGATCCTAGTTGTTCTATATTCTGACTCCTTTATACTCATATACTCAAATATCGTGTAAAATTCTTAGTAGATAGAATTGAGCAAATCCCTTCTTAAAGACCTATTTCTATTTAATACAGTTTCATTCCTTGTAGATATTTATTCATTGTGTTCAGTATTTTATGTAGAATTTTAAAATGCCATTTTCTATGTCATCATTTTCTTTTTTTATAGTTATACATTAAAATTAAGTTGCTTTAAAACTAAGGTGCTTTCCAGCCCTCTCACCATCTTGAAATGCATCCAGAAGAGAGTAACTGGAGACAATGTCATATAATGTATTGGCTGAAAGAACTAAAATGTTTAGTATGGGGAAAAGTAGGCTGGGAGCCAAATGGGCCAGAGATATGATTGCTGCCTTAAAATATTTGGATGAATATCATATGAAATAGGGATTGGACTTATTCTTCTTGGCCCCAGAGAGTAGAAGTAAGAACAATGGGTTGAAGTTAAATGGAGGCATATTTCAGGTTTGTTTTTTTTTTTTAATTCCTAAAAGTTAAGACTGTTCAAAAGCAGAGTAATTGGCCTCGGTGAATAGTGAGCTTCCCATACCTGGAAAAATTCCAGCAGGATCTGTATGAACACTTCTTTTGGGTGCTCTAGATGGGATTCTAGGTATGGATTGACCTAGATGGCCTCCAAATCTTATATTCCATGGTTCTGTGAATAATTGGTTCTAATATTTATGGATGTTTTCAAAATGTCACTTTTCATAATTTGTCATTTTCTTCATTAAAGGCATACTTTAAAACCATCACATACATCCTTTAAAATGTTAGTTGAGCTGTGTCAACATCCCAAGACTATGTCATTAGATTATTTCAATGAGGGACCATTTTTATTTAAGACCATTAACTGATCTATAAGACTGGGCACATACATGTATAAGCACAGACACAGCCAAGCAACATTTCCATGTACAGGCAATTCCTGCTAAAGCCATTTTCTCCCCCTTCTGGCCTGTCTTGGATTCCACGGACTCTTTATTATGCCATTGAAGTCTCCTCCCTCCCCCACCTTTTTTAAAATGGGATCATAGAACAGAAATGACAATACTGGGAATGGCATGGAAATTCTGTTTCTAAATAGAATTTTTTTTCTCTTCCAGTGACAAAGAAATTAGATGAAGATGGAAGTTTTGATCCAGATAACCGCAAGGTAATGAGAAAAAAAATGCAGAAATAAATGAAATTCACCAGCCAATAATCTCTAAAACAAAACAAAAACCATAGGAATTTTTAATAAAATAATTCTGATCATTAAAAATCTTTTTTGAGATTTTAAGCCTTAACACTTTAGGATTAATTGTGCTAAGACTAAGAAAAGAGGTCCTTTCTAACAAAGGGATGATGTCTGGACTAAGTCAGGACATCTGGGGCTTGCAACTGGTTCTGCCATTCGCTGTCCATGTTCTCTTGGGCATGTCACTTCCCTCCTATGGGGCTCAATTACTTCCTTTGTAAAATGGGAATGATGACAATACACTACCTATCTCATAAAGTTGTTTTGAGAAAAGGGCTTTGTTAATGTGTAAATGCTATAGAAATGAGAGGCACCATAGCAGAGTCAGCTCTTCAGGTTAGGAAGACCTGAGTTCAAGTTTCATCTCTGACATATTCTGGCTATGTGGACAAGTCACTTGACTTTTCACTGGCAAGTTTCTAAGACCATAAGTTACAAAGCAGTTGCCAATCTCTAATAAAAGAGGGAGCTTCTTCATTAGGAGGTCCTTATAGCAATGAAATCTAAGGTCCAGTTCAACATTTTTTTAAAAGGCCATAGAAATGTGTTATTATTTTTTAATAAATCTTTTTCCATTTAAGTGAAAATCTGATTGTAGCATGAGAACTGACTATATGACCTCTAAGGTCCCTTTCAGTCCAAGATCCTGTGATGCTCTGAATCTTTTTGTTTATTATATTTCATCCTACCTAGATTATTAATCCTGTTTACAGCTATGCCTTAAAGAACAGTTTCTTCTTTCCTGTTTGCAAATATAAACTCTCCTGTCAATAAGCCATTTTACTGAGATTTTCAATGTCTTGCAGCATCCAGATTTTGTGTAACATTTATACAACATAGCCAACAATTCCCTTTTCCAAGGTGACCATGGGCTTTCTTAGGCTATCCCAATGGAGTGAGACTCTGGCATCTTCACTCAAGTTGGAGAGACTTTGAGTATGGGCCTGAGTCTATTGTTACTGGACCAGGCTAGCTAAGACTTCTCATCAGGTGGGTCACAGAGGGATTCTTTTTAGTCATACCAGCTCTTGAAGACCATCTCCTAGATTAAAGAAAGGTAATGACTCTTGGTGGTAGAAGGCATCTCCTCTGAGTTTACATCCAATTTGCACTGCAAACAGTTTGTATGGACATAGTTATTTACGTCTTGTCTCCCCCATTAAATAGGAGATCTTTAAGGGAAGGAGCTATTTTTCTTTTTATTCTTTTTTATTCCCAGTACTTAAGGAAGTACCTTCCACATAGTAGACATTTAATAAATGCTTCTTGATATGATGAGATTTCCAGTCCCCAAAGTACCAAGAGATTAATGTGTTAGGAATTAAAATAGCAGCTCACATTCCTGTGTTGTTTAATGTATGTATATCATTTCATTTGCTCCTTTTCAAGTAGAAAACCTAAGTATTATTATTACCATTTAAAAGATTAGGAAAAGCAGTCTCAGAGAAGATGAATGACTTGTCTGAACTCAAGTGGCCAGAAATTGATGGGTCTAAGACAGGAAAGCAGATCTTCTGGGTCCAAATTGTCTAGTGCTGATCCCACTACATCTCACTGCCTCTCTGTGTTATATAGAAAGATCTTTATGGTCATGTATGAATCACCAGTATATTCCTCTGATGTGTGTAGCAAACCTCAGTTTCTTCTGAACTGTTTTTTTCTTCTCTCTTTCTTTTTTTTTTATTATTATTATTTTTTTTTAGTGAGGCAATCGGGGTTAAGTGACTTGCCCAAGGTCACACAGCTAGTATGTGTCAAGTCTTTGGTCTGAGGCCGGATTTGAACTCAGGTCCTTCTGACTTCAGGGCCGGTGCTCTATCCACTGTGCCACCTAGCTGCCCCTCTTCTCTCTTTCTATAAGGGATAATTAGATGGGAGGGGGTTCCATTTCAAAAATGAAGACGATGTGAAAATAAAAGATAGCAATAAAAAGTAAACTATAAACTAAGCTTAGTTTCCCCATATGTAAAATGGAGATGGGAAAATCACAGTGTGGAAAGGAGAAGGGAACTAGATCTCAAATGTCAGATCTCTGACATTCTTTGAGTCCAAAGGTCCACACAAATGTGGATTTTCATATATTAGGTTTGCTTAAGGCTAAATATTTCTGTATTTTACTAGTGACACAATGGGTATAAATTTAAACACAGACACAGGGTCCATGAAACAGTTTATGTACAAGGACTAGATGATATAACCCAGAGAGATAAGGTAGGTCCCTCTTCTTTAAGCTTATGACCTATGATTCAGAGATCACCTACTCCTGGGGAATGGAGGAGTATTCTTATCTGACTCAGATCCCAATTCTCTTTGAAACTCTTAGTCACTACTTATCTGCAGTTGAGCTATGTCCTAATTCAATTTAACTGAATTCAATGTAAGCAACTGAGCTTATTGTGGTTTATAGGTGTACCCTTATGTAAGCATGGAACATTGATCTCCACCAATAAAGGAAGAATCCCATGCCAAGGGGCTTTGGGAATAAGGTTAAACTTGGAAAAAAAACCTTAAATCTGGAATCAAAAAATCTGAGTTTGAATCTCAGTCTAGCTGTGTGACCTTGGATAAGTCACAAAACCTTTCATATGTCTCTCTCTCTAGGTAGATTAACAGCAACAGCTCTCAAACTTTGGTCTCAGGATCCCTTTACACTCTTAAAAATTATTGAGAAACCCAAAGAGCTTCTGTTTATGTGTTTTATATATATATATATATATATATATATATATATATATATATATATATATCAGTATCTACCTTGCTAGAAATTAAAATGTCTTAGTATTATTATGAAAATAGTTTTGAACTCACAGACCTCCTGAAAAACACCCAGGGGTCCCCCAGACCACACTTTGAGAAATAATGGACTTAAAGAATTTCTTCCTACTCTAAAATCCTATGAACATTATCAATTTTCTGCATTTATTGATTCCAGGAATTAACTTGATTTATTTTTTTCCTCTCAGCAAAAGAGCAGTTGGCTGTTTCTCAAGGGGGATACGGACACTAGAACAAATTCGCCTGACCTGGATACACAGTCACTCTCTCATAGTAGTGGGACAGAGAGAGACTCTCTCCAGAGGATGCAAGGAGACTTCTATTCACGTGAGTGGTTGCGCTAGGGCAGCAGCCCCCAGATGAAGGGTTGAATGAGGTCTGAGTGAAGATGATGTAGAGAACCAGAGCCTTTGGGCTGGAGCTACTACTGGGAGCTCCAGAGCTGCATTCTCTAAATCATCATCACTAGCCCAATGAGATAATGCTTAGAAAGAACGGAACCTTCATAATACACTAGCCATCTGTGTCTGTAGTTCAGTTTCCCTGATATAGGCATCTAATTACACTAAAAACCTGTCCTTCTGCATTTTCTCTGTGGAGCTCTAGCAGAAACAGTCTACAATGGAGACATATATACCCATAGGGAAGACACAGGGCAAAAGCTTTCTCATGCCCCATTAAGACAAAATAGTTCCTAGCCATCAAGTAAGAGCTGCATTCCCACAAGAGCATGGTCCAGGTGGATTAAATACCAGGTATTGAGGCAATTACTCCAGGAAAAAAACTTTCAGCTCATTCAGATTAGCTCATTCTGAATGAAACTTGATTTTCTCTGTGTATGAAACAGACACAACAGTTGCATTCATAACTTTTTTGGGGGGGGGTGTTGTGAAAATCAGTATGGTTGAATATAAGACTTAAGGCAAAAAAAAAAACCAAGATGCTCAAGTAATTATAAATTAAGTGGTTTCTGGCATTAGTGTTCAAGAAACATGCATTGTAACAGTCAGCCAACATGCAGGGCTGATGGGTCAGGTATTTCAGCATTGAATCTAACACTGGGAAATTTTGAGTCTTTCTTTAAAGAGAACAATTTCATTTGGGGCAATATCATCATTAATCAGTAATAATGTGAAATCATAGTAAAGTCAATAAATATTTGTTAAGTGTTTGCTATATGCCAGGCAAGGCACAATGCTAAGCACTGGGAGTACATGTGGAAACAAAAATAAAGATAATTCCTGCCTTCAAGGAGCTTATATTCTAAAGGAAAAAGACAATACATGAAAAGAAGCTAAAAGAGGTTGAGGAGGGAAAGTATGCATAGAGCTTAGTGGAGAAAGAAAACTGCAGAGTAGGGAGCAAAGCCTGGAGAGTGCTGAAGGAGTGGACATGGTCCATTCAGGACCTTCCTTAAAACAGAAGTGCTGGGAAGGATGGACCAATTAGGGAAGGAGCCACAAGGGCAGGGTGAGACAGCTACTGGCCTTGGTGCTGAAGGCATCTTCGGTTGAGAAGGCTGTTGGCCATAATGGAAAATGAAATCTGGAGAGTTAGGAGCTGGGCCTAGAGAGGAATGGAGGGAAATCAAAGGATCATAAAGTTAGCACTGGAAGGTTATCTAGTCTGATTGCCTCATTATGCAGATAATGAAATGGGTCCAGAGAGGGAAAGCAACTTTGCCAAAGACAGATAGACAGTAAGAGATGGTGTCAGGATTTGCTTTCATGTTCTTTATGCTCTAATGCTCTTTCCACTATACCACACTACCTCTATGTGTGACAAATCAAAGCATGACCAAAACAACAACAACAACAACAACAAAAAACCTCACATGTGGGGATCTCATTATTTAGGACCAAATATAGTATGAAATAACTTTAAGAGATCCATTGCTTTTTTATATGTTCTCATTCTTTGTGGATATCCCACTTTGGCCACACACTAACATTATTGCTCCTCAGACGTCATCATCATCATCATTGCTTGCTAATTGTACCTTTTCCAGGATTGCAGACCTTAAAATTCTAATCTCTAACATCTAGCTCTGATCCTTCCACTTCTTCCACTTGTTTCCTTATTTTTAATGTGCTTTTCACAATTATCATGACCTCCAATTCCCTGAATCCTCCTTACAAGCCCAGGCTACCTCCCTTTCCTTAACTTGCTTTGTATACATAGCCTTGAAAACTCTCCAGGGCAGCTAAGTAGCACAGTGGATAGAGTACAGGGCCTAGAATCAGGAAGACTCATCTCCCTGAGTTCAAATCTGGCCTCAGGCATTTACTAGCTGTGTGACCCTGGCCAACTCACATATTTGCCTCTGTTTTCTCTTATGTAAAATGAGCTGGAGAAGGAAATGGCAAATCATTCCAGTATCTTTGCCAAGAAAACCCCAAATGGGGTCACAAAGAGTTGGACCTAACTGAAAATGACTGAACAACAATTGGTACCTCCCCATTGATCTGTTAAGTTAGTAATTCATGTCCTACCACCCTAAAATCTCTAGGATGTTTCACTCCTCCCAAACCATTAATTCTCAGCCCTGATGGTTGCCTCATCATTTAATTCTTCTCCTTCTGTTCATAGTCTATTAAGTGTCCTTGAAGAAAATTGAAAGTGAGGTGATTTCATCAACCAACTATACCTAAGCAGGGGCCTTTCTTGACACCCAGCTTTCTACCTCTGCTTTCATTGACTCCCTGTCTGAATCCCTATAGTGGCTGTTCAAAAGCTTTTCCTCTCAGGTCTCAACCATACCCTCAACAGACAACAACTTCCTTTTTCATTGAATTCAAGGTCAACTCCCTCAGTTTCCATTCATTCCTCAAAATGTTATCAGCAGCATAATTTACACTCTTCTCTTTTGCTACAATCATAAAAGAGGTAACTATATAGGGGCTAATCCTACCTGTGTCTTTTATCCTATAACCTCTTACTTGCTCTTCTCTCTCTCTCTCTCTCTCTCTCTCTCTCTCTCTCTCTCTCTCTCTTTCTCCCCTCCATGTTTCTCTGTCTCTGTCCTATATAATCAGTCTCTTTTCACTGATTTCTCCACAATAGGCCTAAAAACATATTCATCTATCCAACATTCTTCCTTTGACTCTTCTGCCCCATCTGCCAACTATCCCATCACTCTACTCTTCTTCATAGGCAAACCTTGAAAAAAAAGAGATGACTAGAGCCATCTTCTTTCACTTCCTTGTTATCCCACTGTCCCCTCAATTCCTTGGAACTTGCCTTCTATCCCTGGAACTGCTGAAAATACTCCCTGAGAGGTCACCAATGAACTAAAAAGCCAGATTTTTTTCAGTTCTCAACTTCCTTGAACTCAGCAATACCTAATAATACTGAACACTCCTTTCTGTTAGATACCTCTTAGAAAACTTACTCTTGTAATGCTTGTAATTATTCTTTCTTTTGTTGGCTTTTTCCCCCCTGAACATTCATGATATGAGTGTTTCACAAGGGTCTGTCTGTTCCTGGCCCCTCTCCTTTTTTCTCTGAGCTCTCTCCATTGGCAACAACATTTACTCTCATGTCTTCAATTATCATCTCTACACAAATGACTTCCAGATCTCTATCTCTAGTCGTGACCTCTCTCTTGAGCTCCACTCATGTGTCTCTAATCACCAAAGGACACCACATTGGGATGTCTTACCAGAACTCTAAACTCAACATGTCAATAACTGAGTTTATTTTCTTTCAACCTGTTCTTCCTGACCACTGTTTCTATAAGTAGCACCACCATTTGCCTCATCTCCTATGTTCAAAACCTTGGTAGTTTCTTTGACATCTCCCTCTCTCTTTCTTCTCACATCCAAACAATTAACAAATCCCATTGCTTCTACTTTTCTGTTTCTCATATCCATCCCCTCTTCTATCCTACCATAGTAAAGGCCCTCATAACTACCCACCAGCATGATTGCAATATCTTCTTTTAACAGGTTTTTATATTTCTATTCTCTCCCACATCCAATCTATTCTCTGTACCACACTACCAGGCTTATTTCTTTGTTCTTAGATCTTGTGATGTCACTCTTCTGCTCAAAGTTCTTTAGTAGCTCCCTGGTATGTACCAAGTAAAAGTCAAACTTCTTTGTGTAGCATTCAAGGCTTACTCTACCTTTATGGCTTAGACTTAGACACCTACTTCCTTTCAGTCTTTCTGTGCTTCAGTCAAATGTGACTAACCATTCACAGTCCCTCAAATACACTTCCTGCTTTTCCACCAATGTAACTTTTCTCACATTGTTCTTTATGCTTGAAAAACCTTGCCTCACCCTCCTCACCAGTTGGATTTCTACTTATCCTTTAAAACTCAACTTAAATGCCTCTTTTTTCCAGGAATCCCTTCTTGACTCCTCTCAGTTGGTAACAACCTTCCCTCCCTCTGACCTAAGAGTGTATTTTGTATCTCTCTAGATCCTTTAAACATTGAGTGTAACTTGGAAAATATGGCAATTTTCACATATGGCCACTAGATGGCAAACATATATTATCTTTAAAAAAAAAATCCTTGCTATGCCTATAAAATTGGACTTCATCATTTCCTGCTTTCTTTAATAAGTCTAGAAATCAATAAACCATTAAGCACCTACTATGTGCAAAGCACTGACAGGCCCATAGATAGGGGAAGGGAAAGTGTTTCCCTCCACAAATAGTTTTACTTTTAGAGAGATTTACAAGTATGTGTTTGTGTTTACTTACAGTGATTCTTACATGACAGAACTTTCATATTACTCCCCTAGCATGTTCCTTGGCACCCTCTGTTCTATGTTGGTACAATTAGACTTTTAAATGTAGGTTCCTTGAGGCTGAAGAATTTGATCTTTTTTTTAATTTATTCTGTCTCATTCATCATCATCACGATCACCACTGATTATACTAATATGTCCTCAGAAATCCAAAAACTGAGTAAGAAATACATTCCGTGGTTTAAAACAGATGTAATTTTTGTACCATAGGGCCTGTTTTCCTCAAGCATCTGACTAGACTGCCACAATAAAAAGAAATTCTAATTTTTTCAAAGTATAGAATAGATCATAGGAATTATAGCTGGAAGGGACCTTGAAGATCCTCTTGTCCCATCTCATTTTACAGAAAAACTGAGAACCAGCGATAGAAAGTAATCCCTGGGCAGTGTGCAATAGAGAGACAAGGATCAAACCAGGTCCTCTAACTCCAAATCTATCGTCCTTTCCACTGCACACAGTGCCTCTATAGGTCTAATACTTCTAAGTGCTGCCATTGGCTCACTCAATAGCATTTAGAAGAACTACTTATCTAATATAGCCATAGCCAGAACCAGCCTTGGAGGAAATGGTAACTAAGATTTCGTCTACCTTTGATCCTCCATCACGGTCCCTCAGGTGCCTCAAGCACTGGAGGTGCTTTTGCTGTCCGTTGGCTTCCCGTGGCCCTCATTGTGGGGTCCTCATCCAGGCCTGTCCTCCTTAGTCAGCACTCCAAGTTCTGGTCCTTGTCCAACCTTCTTTTCCATCAAAGCTGGGTTCTTTTCTGTGCTGATCTGATAAACTAGTTGTTGCTGATCTGTTAGTGATACCTTCAATGGAGATTCAAAGAATTTTAATGCTGGAAAGGATATTAGAAATTAAATAGCCCAACCCCCTCATTGTACAGACAGGGAAACTAACTGAGTGCTCAAAGAAAGGGAAATGACTTGTTCCTAGGATTAGCAAGTTAGTGGTAGAATCAGGGCTAGAGGTCGGGTTGTCTGATTCCCAGTACATTATTCTTTCTACTACCCTGCACAACCTCCTTATATTCATATTTTAATAGATAGCTTCAGTAGACACTTCTTTAATCTAAAGGAGAGACATTAAATGGGGATTAACTTTAGATAGGTGGGGACAGAAGTACATTTTGGTTCTCAAATGATAGCAAGAGGCATCCTCTGCTCTGCTTCAACTAATCCTGACTGCAGATTATTTTAATCATCTCTGTGTACCCTTGGTCAAATCACTTAACTTCCCTGGGCTTTAGTTTCCTTACCTATAAAATGAGGGGATTCAACAAGATGGCTTCTGAAATCCCTTCCAGTTCTAAATCAAAAGCTGTGGTCTTGTGACTCTATGATATCTATCAGCCTAAATCCATTAAAAGGTAATTTCTGGGGGGCAGCTAGGTGGCACAGTAGATAGAGCACCAGCTCGGGAGTCAGGAGGACCTGAGTTCAAATGTGACCTCAGACACATGATACTCACTAATTGTGTGACCCTGGGCAAGTCACTTAACCCCAATTGCCTCGCCAAAAAAAAGGTAATTTCTGTGTTTATTTAGGAGATGAAATGTTCTGGCTTTCTATCTGTTTCAGTCTCATTTCCTTTGGAAGCTTCCCCCAAGTTTCCTTTTTCCACTTTGGAAATGAAAATGAAAACAGCCTTCACTTAAAATCATCTTTTCTAATAGCTTTATTTGTATGTAGTTCTATGTATTATACATTCTGGTTATATAGAAATTGAAGTTTATGTATACATATTTATTTAAAATGATTCTCTTTCATGTAAGAGCCTTTGAAGTATCTAGATTCTTTGAAAATTCATACATTACATTTTCCAGGATTCAAGAGATGATTGAAATTCAGGTGCTCATCACATTTCACCTTTCTCACAGCCCTGCTTGGCTGCTTAAGGAGATTGGGTCCCAAATAAAGCCAAACTCTATTGGAAGTCCAGATATAAAGTTTGAAAGGTCAAGAACATGGAATTGTTTATATCTGTATTGGTCTGAAACCTGCTCTTGAGATTTGTGAATCACACACACACATACACACACACACACACACACACACATGCACACACACACACATACGCACACATACACACATACATACTATCTATAGCCCTGTTGGTCTAAGTTGCATATCTGCCATCTGTTCTGTGTTTTTATGAGAGCTCCTCATCTTTTCATTTTGATTTGGTCTTCCTCAGTTGACTTGCTGGTAGGCTTGATTTGAAGAGCCCGTTAAAAGTTATGTGTGTCTGTTTCAGGATTCCCATATAACAAATCTGCTTCTCTACCTGGATATGGAAAGAATGGATTCAACCGGGTAGGTACTTGATTCCCAAGCACGAAGTTTACTAACAAAGATATCACCAAGTGCCTTGGTTGACAGCTTTTCTAACCTTTTGAGTAACAGCCCAGCAAGAAATCCAAGATGGCCTACACATCTGCCAGCATCAGATGGTCTAGTCTACTGTAACTTGGTTGTACGCTGTCTCTCTCTCTCTCTCATTCTCACTCTCTCTCAGAATAAGTTTCTAAAAGAACATAGTGACTCATTCTTTGCTTCCCTTCCATCTTCCTTCTTTCCCATCCCCAAACAAACCATACACAAAAAGATCTTACCATGAAATAGGAACCCAGCAAAACTGAAATCAATCACAGGTAGGAACAGGGAGGTCTTTCAGAAACAATGTCAGGGAAATGACTTGTCTGTCATGAAGTCCTTTTGAATAAGGCATATAATTAAAGAGAATTTTTTTAAAAGTTGGGAAACCTAAGAACTTGTTATTCTATAATCAGGCGTTCTTGCAGATCTGAGTAGTAGAGAGGAGATACAAAGTAAATAGTAGACTTATTCGTGACTTCCTCCCAATACTGTAGTCATAGTGACTGATGGCAGTGCCTTTCATCACTGAAAGCAAACCAAGACTAATTTTTAAGGTTGTGTTTTGCAATTCTATGCAATTTTTTTACACTGAGCATGTTGGATTTGAGTTTGAGGCTGAGTATACCTATATTCCTTGGCACTTTTCCCTTGATAAAAAAAAAATGGTGCCTCCCACACTTAAAATGCATTGTCATCACTGAATGGTCTGAATTTTGGAATGAGCATGCCGCATGCTGCCTAAAGTGTTTGTAAAGTAATTTCTCCCCCTTCACCTTCCAGGTTGGGATGGAGACAGGAACACAAACTGAAGGGGACCAGTTGAGATAGAAATCGGCATATGATTCTAATCATATCTACCCCTTCCACAATCCTCCTCTCTGTCTCCCAAACACCAGAAACTTAAGACAATTGCGTATGGGGAAGGAGTGATGGGGGGGAGAGGAGGAACATACTGTGGATGGAAAACAAGATAACCAGAGTCATCACCTTTTGTCTGAATGCCCTGATATAAGTATGATCTTGCTTCTCTAAAATCTTAGTCAAATTATAATATACTCTGTACAACTCATAGATAGTTTATTAAAAGCTGAACTCTGAACTTCCTGCGAACTAAAATATTGAAATGGTAAATACAAGTTTTATACAGAATTTCACTTTTTCTGAAAAATAAAAGCATGATGGGCAAGAAAAGCATACTGGTTAGTATATTCACATTTGGAGAATACACATAGACTGTGAAAATGTGATTCTATATTGTTAACTGGGGTCAGAGATTGGCAACATACAAATTGTGCCTAGCCCAGTACTTTTTACCTTGTTGAGATCTTGATAGTATCATAGAATTTAGAGCTGGAAGCCACCTTAGAGATCATCTGGTATAGATTTTGTCAAAGGAAGGCCCACAGACCCCTAGGAGTCTCCCAGACCCTTTCAGGAGTCACTGAGGTCAAAACTGTTTTTATAATATTGCTAAAAAGTTATTTGCCTATTAAAATACTCCCCCCTTTTCCAAATACATATCTGTGTTAGGCCAAATTTTCTTCATATGCTTCAAATGAACTATATAGTTCATATATAGTATGTATATAGTAGCTGATTGAACACAGAAGGAGATATAAGACTCCTACTGTCTTCTGTCTAAGTCAGACATTAAAGAGATTTCCAAATATATGTAAAACAGTGCCACTTTTCTCACTGATTTTTTTTCTTTGGAAACTATAGCTGTTTTTCATTAAAAAAAGTATTATGTTAACATGTAATGGATTTATTATTGTTATTTTAAATGAATAAACATTTAAAATGTATAAGTTTTAATTTCTAATACAGTAAATTTCAATTAATATAACCCACAGCACTTTGGGAGGTCCTCAATAATTTGGGAGGTCCTCTAAAGGAACCTGAGACTAAAAGTTTCAAGAACCTCTGACTCAGTCCAACCTCCACATTTCACAAACTGGAATACTGAGACCCAAGGAAGAGAAAAGACTTTTCCCAAATCATAAGTCTAACAAGGAGCAGAACCAAGATTTCTTCCTCTGATACCAAATGCAGTGTTCTTGTCACTATAGCATGATTACTTAAGTAAGAGTTTGAATGATTAACATAGGAAGGTATTGGTCTTGACCATATCTGAAGTTCTGGGGGCCACATTTGAGAAGGCACTAGGGACACTGATAAATTGAAGAGTAAAGGCAACCATTATGAAGGGACTAGAGCCCATCCATACCTCATGAAGATCAGAGGGAAAAAAGTGGAGACATAAGGGCCAGCCTGTTACAGAAGAATTTTATTTGTTATTCTTTGTTCTAAAGGGCAGAACTGAGATCTATGACTTGAAAGTACAGAGAGACAGACTTAGGCTTGATGGAAAGGAAAAAATATCTGAAACAAATTATAGCTATCCAAAAATGGAAAGGAGTGTCAAGAGAAGTGCTGGGTTTCCTTTTACTAGAAGCTTCAAGAGAAACCTAGATGATCACTCATTGAGTATTTCATAGAGAGGATTCAGATACAGATTGGACTAGAGGTCCCTTCCGACTCGGATTCTGTGACTGTTTTGGAAAGATTTGATTTGAACTTTTTATGTCCTCCTCTGCTCCTCACTAACATTTGTGGTTTCTTGCTCTCCTCTATTCTCTCTTTCTCCTTTTATCATATTGTAAATCTATTTCTTGGGGAGAAAAGGGTGATAGCCCCGACATCCTTGACCTTCAAAATCACCATTCTTCTAAAATTATGTACTACTTGGCAAGTAGTAACATTGTTCCATACCTAAGAGGTATCTGGGAAATGCGTTTTCACTGACTATTCTTTGGGTACCTGGCAAGTAGTAACATTGTCCTATACCTAGGAGGTGTCTGAGAAATGCATTTTCACTGACTATTCCTTGGGTGCCTACATGATCAAAAGTTTAATAGAAACAACCTGGTTTCATGATGAACAGCCACCAGACAGCTATATAAAGGATGAATTGGCAAGGGGAAAAGAGTATCAGGAAAGAGTGAACTATATGTCAGACTGATCACACAAGGGTTTTTTTTTTCCCCCAAACAATTAAATCTGTGATACAGACCTGTTTTTCTATTGCATATTGTTTTCTCCTAAAATTAGAGCACATTAAACAATACTCCAGTTAATTGAGAGGCCTCATTAGTTGAATTTGGTCTCATCTAGTTCTGTACCGCTAAAGAATTTAACATGGATTCCCCTTAGAGAGGTGGTGATCACTGAAAGCATTTTGTGGTTTCGAAATTGGGTTCAGCTAATTGATGTTAATTTACTGTATGCTGCACAAAGTTATTGTTAACTTAGTCATCTAGAGCCCATTTTTCATGCTTTATTAATATTTCTATTAGATGAATCTGGGGTTCAAAACCTGGCAGTGTGGTGGCCTTTTGGCTTGGAGGTTTCTTCATTGTAACCTAGTAGGTCACTTTTGTTGTTGTTAGGAAGTAAGGCGTCTCTACTTTGTTGATGTGTTAAAATATACAAAACTTTCTTGGAGTGGCAAGACCCCCTCCTTTTATAAATAAGGAAAATGAGGCTATTCAACATCACCGTGAGTCAAGGTCAGAGCCCAGACTTCCACTCAACAGTTCTTGGGGCTGGAAGGAACCTCAGAGGTAACTCTAATCCAAACCCTTCATTTCACAAACAAGGACAGAAAGATTCAAGAGGTAAAGTGTTCTGTCCTGGGTCCCACAGCTAGTTAGAACGGTGGCCCAGGTCTTCTTACACTTACCCAGTCTTGTGTTCATTCTGTTATGTCAGGAATCCTGTCCTTGGAAGATGATAACACCATAAAGGACCTTTTTAACACTAGAGAGTGGTGTTCTGTGGTGACTTTGGGTAAATCACTTCTCTCTTTTGGTCTCAGTTTCCTTACCTATAAAATGAAGAAGCTGAAATAGATGATTTCTGAGGCTCTTTTTGCTTTAAATCTTATGATCCTATGGAAAGTCATTACTTCTGAGCACTATTAAACATCCTCATTTTCTTGTGGTTTGCTGTTGACTCCTAGAATTAGAACATAAAAAAATCCCAGTTAATCAAAGGTTTTGGTTACTTAGATTGTATCTTATCCATTTCTGTGTTTTCCTCTCCCATTTCTTCTAAGAGACACAGTAGATGATCAGTAATGTGTATTGTTTTTATTTCAGTTGATTCAGGTTTACTGAGTGGGGTACAAAATTATGATTAATAGCAAAAACACACTTAAAAGCCCCTCAACTCTTAGGCAGTTTTGCCTGTGTGAGGCTACCTACATTGACAGGGTGGTTTTGAAGCCCCTGGTTGGTCTTTGACGCACAACTGGCCATACTTGTCTAAATTGTTACACTTTTTTTAGTTGTTCTAAACCCAACTATTGAAGTGATAAATCCATTTGGCTATTTGTGTAGGAGAGGTTTTTTTAATTATACCACCCATGTTCAACTTAATAGGATTGGGGACTGAGAAGAGTTAGTACATCCCTCTCATTTTACAGATGAAGAAACTGAGGTCTAGAGAAAGGAAATAATTTGAGCAGTGCCACATAGTATGTAGCCCAGTCAGGATCTAAATCCAGGCCTTTTGAAACCAATTTAGTAGACTTTCTTCTCCATCTGGTTGGCTATGCCATCCAGAGAGGGCAAAACTGACTCAGGGGGTCACCATGGTGCCTTTAAGATAGAAGTAGAGGGAAGTAGGAGCCTGGAAAGATCTCACTTGGGTCTGTTTCTGAATTCCATCTGACTTTTTGTCAAGTACCAGTGGATTATAAGAAATGCATATGACTTTATGTTTAAAATAAAGGACACTAGATGGCAGGATTACTCTCTCAAGCTCAGGAGCTGCTGTTTTACTGGCATGTCCTAGAATGCCAGGAATGCATAGGAAAGGATCATAGGATCGTAGGTTTGAAGCTGAAATAATCATAGGAGCATAAAGTTAAAGTAGGAAGAGACCTCAAAAGTCATATAGTCCAAACCCCCAAACCCCTCTTTTTATAAATAGGGAACTGAAGCCAAGTGATGGAAAGTAACTTACCCAAAGCAGCACAGGCAGTAACACAGTCAGAATTTGAACCCAAATAGGTCCTCTGGGTTTCACTCCAGCACTCCTTCCACTAAACTACATTGAATGGCAGGTCTAGAAAGAACTCTAGAGATTTTCTTATCTAAAAGTTTAATTGCAAAAAGATAAGGAAATTGAGTTTCACAAAAGTGGAGGCATGGAGTTTTAGAGCATGAAGAAAGCTACCTACATTTCCTACATTTTGTAGATGAGGAAACTGTCAGTCATTAAGCACTGTGCTAGAAGTTAGAGTTTCAAAGACAACATTGAAACCATTCCTGCCCTCAAGGAGATTACATTCTGCAGAAGAAAAAGTGTAATGGGACTTGCCTGTGGTCATAGTAAAAAAAAACAAAAAAAAAAAACCAGGAAATAAAACTCATGTCTCCTGATTCCTGTTTTGCGATTGCTATCTCTAATTTGCCCTTCCATAAATAGTAAAATCCACAAATGAGTTTGCTGCAAGTTTTAAAAGTAGATGGAATAGGTGCATATGGGAAGGGATGGAGTTGCTTCACATAGGTTCCTGGCTTAAAGTATCTTGGTACTGCAAACACAATTGTCTATTATCTTTTCTTCTGTTTTAGGTAAAGAAGGAATGTCTAGTTCCAATAGACTTCTAAATGAGTACCTATGTATTTATGCAGAAACGAGTGACAGGTTCACTCAATGTCCTCTAGATTGGTTCTTACTGTACCAACTGATGATGCTGAAGCATCTCTCCGTACCATAAGAAGTATGGAACATAATTAACATAATTATTTAGTAATTGACTATCTTACAGCAGAAGGGAATAACTAAGCTGATGTGATGACTGTGAAGCATCACTGATGTTCAAGTCAAGACTAAGGAGATTTGGAATTGGACTCTTCCAGTTCATTACTATATGAGAAGCATAATTCGCCTAATTCCCACCTAATTGGTTATGCCAAAATATGAGATTGGGAGAGAAAATGTTATAGAGGAGCAGATGGAGGAATGGCATAGTTTATTTCATAAAAGCATCGACAAATAGAGAACAAACTCTTGGATAGCCAAATTTTAGATTGTGAAAGCTGACAGTCCGTCTTCATGAACACCTGAGACTATATATAGAAATGAAGGTAATTGCTGCTAAACTGAACAGAATGAAACCAAGATGGGTCGGGGAGTGTAGCGCCGGGATCCACAATAGACTAAATGTTGTAACATTACAATGGGATTCGGTTACGTCTTAAGAACATTATTGCAAGATCAGATAGGGTATTGGCCTTGGAGTCATAAAGACTTGGGTTTAAATCCTGCTCAAGATATTTACTAGCTATGTGACTCTGGGCAAATCACTTAACCTCTCCAGGCTTCAGTTTCCTTATCTATAAAATAAAAGAGTTGGACTCAATGGTCCCTTTCAGCTCTAAACCTCTGATCCTATGACCTTATGAAATGTTGGAGGTGGGTAGTGTTATGTGAGATGTGCCTGCATGCTGAATTTCCCCACTGGTGACTGTGATCAGCACCACTGTGCACTATGATGCCAAGATTGCATTCTCTTCTTAGGGCTTATGCTTTGACTGTGTCTCAAGGAAAGACCCCTTTTCCCAGAGGACCAACCACCAGTTTCCAGATTCATTGCTCTTTTTGCTGCTCTCTCTTTCTCTCTTTTCCAGAATGCAAATTTGGCCCAGTATGAAGCAGACCAGGATACCAGTTGGGGGATGCGAGGTACATGAAGTTAGGACGTCAGTGGCTCTAACCTAGTGTTTATTCTTATCTAGGGGAGAGGGGCTCAGTAACATATTTCCACAAGCATCATTTTGAAAACCCAGCCATCACTTCCTGAATAATTCAGAAGTTGATTTCCATGCCTAACTCTTGGCTCATTTCTCCTGCATCTTACCATACAGAATCAATTTGATTTTTATCTCTCCCCTTTTTGAGATACCCTGCTATCTCCCATTCTTGGATAATGCTGACTCTGTCCTAGCTTCTTAAGGGGTAACCTAGGCAGAAAAAAAAAATTGCTGTAATTACTACTGAACCACGTGACTCATACTAACCAAAATAATTATTTGATACCATGCATTTAAGCTCCATGTTGATTCCAGATCTAATTCAAGTGAGATTCTTGGTTGCAGTGTCTGACCAGACGAACTTCCCTTGACCATCAGAACTCTAAGCAAGGCTGCAGACAATAGTAATGGTAGTATAGAACTTTAAAGCTAAATCTAATGAACACTTGCTAAGTGCCTTACTATGTATAACGCATTACATACATGATTTTAATATAATCACACAACAGCAATGGGAAGTAGGTTATGGACTATTACTATCTCCATTTTACAGGTGGAGAATCTGAAATTCAGAGAAATTAAGCAACTTATCTAAGGAGGGCACAGCTGAGAAGTGTTGGAGTTAGGACATGAAATCCTAGCCCAGGGGTGGGGAACCTGAGGCCTCAAGGCCACATATGGCCTTCTAGGTCCTTGAGTGTGGCCTTTTGACCCAGTCTGAGTTTTACAGAACAAGTTCTTTTATCAAGGAGATTTGTTCTGTGAAGTTTGGATTCAGTCAAAGGGCCGCCCTTGAGGACCTAGAGGACCATATGTGGCCCGGAGGTCACAGGTTCCTCACTCCTGTCCTAGCCCTAAGACTAGCATTATTACTACTGTGCACTACCTTAAGCACCTACTATGTGCAAAGAACTGCCCTACTTAGAGGAAATATAAAGATAAAGAAGACATGGTCCTTGCCCCCCTGGAGTTCACCATCTAGCTGGGAGGATATGGTACATCCTCAGTAATCACCTGATGATTATAAGGCAAAATAAAATAGAATAAGAACATGAAAAGAACCAAGTGCTTTGTGAGGTCTGAGGAAGGAAAGATCATTTCCAGCTGGAAGAGGGGTTGAATGCTTCATGGAGGACAATGGCATTTGAACTGTGCATGAAGGATACTGAAGACTTCAATGGGCATATTTGGTGGACAGGGTAGGAAGACATTCCAGGTCTAGGGAATAAAGCAAGCAAAGGCTGAGGAAGGAAGGAACTGGATTGATACTGGAGGGAACATTTCACTTGACTACAGGGGAAACTGAGGCACACAGAGGTTAATCTGTTTACCTAAAGTCACTTGATGAGTCAGTCAGTAGCAGAGCCTGAACTAGAACCCAGGACTCCTGACTTCAAGTCATTGATTCTTTTCATTCTCCCAACACAGTACTTTCTAGTACTTCTTTACTGTGCGAATGCTTTATACTAGTCAATAGTTTTCACAACACCCCTCACAAGTTATGCCTTAAAATGCCCACTTCCCAGATGGGTAAATTAAAGTAGGTAGGTAGCTTTATCTACCTGACTCAGGCCATCAGGAGAAGACAGGGTTCGAGATGACAGATGCAAGCTCAGCAGTTGCTGGTGTCTCACTTGGTGTTCAGACCCCTGGACCATACCTTGTGCTCTTCAGAATTCTTGCTTGTGTCCCGGGGCCATCCCATAGCCTTATAGCACCAAGAATCAAAATTCCTTATCGCCAGTCATTTACGTCCATTTCTAGTGCTGTTGGACAGCTAACCCACCCAATGCGAAGATCCCAGTGCATGCAGCCATCTTACTGCATGATGGAATTGTGTTCATGAAGACACCACCTTTCAGAATTAATTGAGCTGGAAAACATAAATACATATTTTCTAAAATTTTCCATGGTCTCCTCCTCTTTTTCTTACAGAATACAAGGTAAGAGGGAACCCGGAAGGAGTGTCATGCCTGGCCAGGTTAAAAGGGTCCTTTTTTCTTGTTCTTACCCAGTGAAATGTCTATGTCAATTATGGATCCAAGTATGTATGATTCCATACCTCAACCATTTTTAAGTCACCCACTCTTTCCCTTTCCCACTTTCCCCATCACAGCCAGAGTTCTCTGAGTGAATCTGTTGGGCTCTTTCTTCTTCTCTTTTTTTTTCAACAACAGATTTATCCCTATGACATGCTCATCGTCACAAACCGAATTCGGGTGAAATTACCCAAAGATGTGGACAGGACCAGACTGGAGGTAAGAATGATTTTCTCTTTTGCTTTGTTCTGCCCAATGACGATTCTTATATTTTACCCTCTGTCATCACCTGAAAATTACCTAGGAAGAATTACCAGCAAATGTTGTCATTTTCAGCAAATGGTATGAGATGTCATGATGCAGAAGCCACAAAAGCTACATTAAATAGAGGAGTAGAAACCAGAATGAGGGAGGTGATAATCCCAGTGAGCTTTGCTCTGATCAACCCCCATCTGGACTTTTGTGTTCAGCCCTGCATGCCACATTTTAGGACATTGTTACTCTGGATGATTTTATGCCTATGGGATAGTACACTCTACCTTTGAGAGAGCCCAGAGAACAAGCAGGATAGTTGAGGAGACCCCAGAGAGGATTGGAGGCCATGCCATTCAAATAGGATGTAAAGAATCTGGGGATGTTTAACTGGGAGAGGAAAAACCTTGATGCGGGAAAGAAAAGGGGACCATGGTAGCTGTCTTCAAGTACTAGAAGGATTGTTATGTGGAAAAGAGAGGTTTTGTCACGTCTGACCATTAAGGACATGAGAAATAGAAAGGGGGGAAGCAAAGTAGAAGATTTAGGCTCAATTTAAAGTAAACTTTCCCAATAATTAGAACTACTAAAATACATTGGGCTCCTTTGGTAGATAGCATTTTGCCATTACTATAGGACTTTTAGCAGAGGCTAGAACACTGCTTGTCAGCAATATCATACAGGTGATTTGTGTTCAGGTAAGGAATGGTCAAGATGACCTTTGAGGTCCCTGCCAGCTGTGAAATTCTGTGACCCAGTGGTTTCATTTTTTGCAAAGTTATACTTCTCAAAGTGGTTTCCTGTAGCCCTGATTCAAATTTCTTCTGAAGTAATTTTTGAGAGGAGTAAAGATTTTTAGGAAAAATGGTTTCGATTTGTCTTGGAGCTTGGCTAGTGATAAATTTTTGTCCAAATATTAAAGTACCAAAAGGCTGGACTAAAGTAGAATGAGCACTACATTCGACATCAAAAAACTGAATTCACAACCTGGTTGTCTGGTTCTTTGATTTGCTAACTGTGGGACCATGAATATATGTCTTTTCTCCTCTGGGAGTCAGTTTACTCATGTGTAAAATGAGGGGGTTTGGACCAGAAGGTTTCTGAGGTATCTTCCAACTCTAGATCCCATGATACAACTGACTGATGTTAAAGGATACATTATCCTAGCGGCAAATATTTCTCTGGCTCACAAAGTATCTTTCCTCCCAAGAAGCCAGTGAGGTAAATAGTGAGACACGGTCTCTGAGGTTCTTTTAAACCGTGAGATACTGTGAAACTAAAGCCAAGCAAGGAAAGGGCCTTCTGACCCTTCTTCATGTAGCTAGCAAGCACAACCTGAATTCCCACCTGGGCCCTTGAATCCAGTGGGCTCGCCATGGCAACAGGCTTGAAATCTGAAACCATCATCTGGCTCCTAAACTGGGAGCTTGTTCTGAGATTCAAACTGGGTTTGTCTAACCTTTGCCCTAATCAGCCATAAGTCTGCAGTTCGCCAGCCTAGGCCCCGTTCCCCACCCCAATCCCATCCTTCATACCTTCTTTATAAATGTGAGTGAATATTTAGAATAAATAGTTGACTCTGGATCTAATACTTAATTCTCTGCTTGTCAAACTTTCAGCTGTAACATTTTGCATAAAGTCTTGCATCCAAGACTTGGGTCTAGTTCGTAATAGACTGGGGTTGTAACTATATTTAATTGTACTCAGTGACCAAGAGGAGTCAAGATAGCATCCAGAAACCCTGCCCTACTACTAGTCCATATAGGCACAATACCTAGATAAAGTGCAAATCTTTGTAGTTTTCAAGGCTTTACCTTTTTTTTTCTGGCTTTTTGGTGAGGCAATCAGGGTTAAGTGACTTGCCCAGGGTCACACAGGTAGTAAGTATCAAGTGTCTGAGGTCAGATTTGAACTCAGGTCCTTCTGACTCCAAGGCTGGAGCTCTATCCACTGTCCAATCTAGCTGCCCCGCAGGCTTCACTCCTAAATGGTATTTGTTCATTTGTTCATTTTACAAGGCTTCTAAATGTTCACCATGGTTCTAGTTAGTGTTCTAAGTATTAAATACAGGAGTGAAGGCAAGCTGAAGAGTAAGATTATCCTGTTGAGATTCTGGGAGAATGGTGAATCTATAGACAAAGGGGAGTTAGGAAGAGAAGCCAATTGTAGGGAAATAATAGCACTATAATCCTTCGTGTTTATATGCTATTTTAGTTTTATAAAACAATTTCATATTCAATGTGCCACTTGATCATAATAATAGCTCACATTTAAGATTTACAAAGTACTTTCCTTACCACAACCCTGTGATACAAAAAATATCTTCATTTTCTCGATGAGGAAACTGAGGCTCAGAGACATTAAAGAAAGACTGAAGGTCTAGCCAGAGCTAGAATATAGATTTCCTGAATTCCAGCCTAATGGCCTTTCCTTTCTGTTTATGGTGGATTTCTTTTCATGAAAAAATCTCTATATAAAGGCCCCATATGTAAGGCAACCCACCCAACATGAGTCACCGAGAAATGACGTCCACCTCCCAACCTCCCACCCCGAAACAGAATCCTGTATTAAAAGCATTATCATTATATAACCATGCATTTTCATTGGTAAAGCCTGGTTGCTTTTGTGGGATGAGATAAACTCTTCCTGGAAGTGCCCAGAGGGGAAGTCCTAGTGATTCTTTTTTTTAATTAAAAGGAGCTTTTGTCATTCATACTACGGGTGTTTTAAATGTGATCACGATTGCTTGGAAGAACCGACTTACTGATCATAGCACAGAAACATAACAAAAAATCAACACCCTCTAGTGCTCTGTCTTCTGGGGAATGAAGCTGTATAATCAGGAGAAGATCCAATTATTTTTTCTTTCCTCATTGTTCCTCTAAGCAATGAAGTAGTTTAAAAAAAAAAAAACCTAATACATTCATTACATTTTTTTTTAAATTCACTTTAAGGGGCAGCCAGGTGGCTCAGTGGATAGAGCACTGGCCCTGAAGTCAGGAGGACCTGAGTTCAAATCTGACCTCAGACCAAACACTTGATGCTTAACAGCTGTGTGACCCTGGGCAAGTCACTTAACCCCAATTGCCTAAAAAAAAAAAAAGTTCACTTTAATATTTCAAGGTATCACAAATCCCTACAAGATATACAGCAATTTTTGAGGGCTTGCTCAAATTATAACTATGCCATAATCAAATATAACCATATCTCAGTAAGAAGAAGAAGAATGATGAAGAAGAAGAAGAATTATTTATGTAGTAACTTAGGTGGAGCAGTAGAGTGCTGGACCTGGAGTCACGAAGACTTGAGTTCAAATCTGGCATTAGACACTAACTATATGTGTGACCTTAGACAAGTCACTTATCCTCTGTTTGCCTCAGTTTCCTCAACTGCAAAATGGGGATGATCATAATAGCACCTACCTTGCAGAGCTGTGGTCAAGATCTAACAAGATATTTGTTAGATCTTAGCACTTAGCACAGTACTTGGCACATAGTAGATGCTATATGAAACCTAACTATCATTATGATGAAGATGATTATACATTATTTCTCTTGATCCTCAGGCTAGCCCTAGGAGGTAGGCCCCATTATTATCCCCTGTCTAGGGATTGATGAGAAAACAGAGGCTTACTGAGGTTAAATTAGTGGGTTAATAAATACCTGAGGCAGGATATGAAGAACACAGTGCCTGGTAGATAGTAGGGTGCTTAATAAATGCTTATTCTTTTCCCTTCCTGTAGCAGGTAGTACTTGAACTGAGCCTTCCAGGAAGCTGGGAATTCTAAGAAACAGAGGTGGGATGGGAGTGTCTCCAGCCTGGGGACAACTTGTACAAAAGCACAAAATACCTTCATATTTCCAATATGTTGCCAAATCTTGTCACTAGTGGCACAGTGGGCCTAGAGTGCACTGGGCCTAGAGTCAGAAAGACTGGAGTTTAAATTGAGCCTCAGACATTTACTAGGTATGTGATCACTGTTTGCCTCAGTTTCCTCAATTATAAAATGAAGATAACAGTATCCACCTCCCAGGCATCAAATGAGCGAATAATTGTAAAGCGCTTAGCATAGATAGTCTCTGGCACATAGTAAGTGCTATATAAATACTAACTATTATTATTATTATTATTATTATTATTTCTTCCTTCATTCTGTACACTCATACAACCACTACCCTAGTTCAGCCACTCATCGCCTCATACCTGGATTATTGCAGTAACTTCCTAGTGGGTCTCCGGGCTCCAAGCCTTTCGCCACTTTTATCCACCTTCCACTGGGTCGCCAAAGTGATTTTCAGAAAGCACAGCTGGGACCATGTCTCTTCCCTATAAGTCCAATAAACTCCAGTGGCTCCCTGTTACCTCCAGAATCAAATTTAAAATCCTTTGTTTGGCTTTTAAAGGCTTTTACAACCTGTCTTCCTATCTTTTTTTCTTTTTTATTTGAGGCAATCAGGATTAAGTGACTTGCCCAGGGTCACACATTTGACTAGATTTGAACTCAGGTCCCTCTGACTCCAGGGTTCATGCTTTACCCACTGTGCCACCCAGCCCCCATCTTCCTATCTTTTAACTAGGACTTCAAGGAATCCAGGGAGGTCAGTGGTCACGATGGAGGAGGGAGAAAGTTCCAGGCTATGTAATCTTAAGCAAATCCCTTCACTTCTGTCTGCCTCAGTCTTGTGACCTGTGAAAAGGGAGAGTAGAACTAGATGACCTTGAAGGTCCCTTCCAATTCTAAATCTATTATTATATGATCACAAACAGACTAGCAATCCAGGTGGTCCTTTCTTAAAGTGGGCTTGATAAACAAACTAGCCGTTGAATAAACACCAGCAGTTTTCTAAAGCCCACATTAATTATAAAATATAGTACTTAATTACTTCCTCTAGTGCTATAGAAACTTCAATAGTACTTTACAGTTTACCAAGCATTTTTTCCCCAAATCCTCATGAAGTTATGTGCAA